GGGGGGGTCCTGAAGCCCGAAAAGCCCCTCTGGATCCGCCACTGTTAAGCTGAAAGCAATTGAAACAGTCCTACATGTGTCACGCTGCCAAACCGACTGTATTTTATTTCATAAAAACCCGCCCACACCAGCCTCGTGATTTTAGCGACAGTTTGACTCCGGAAGAATGAAAGCGTCATATTTTTTTTTACAAAACTTGCACGGATAAAATGGCTATGTAAAAACATGTATTAACTTTAATGAAGATATAAATATAATTACTGTACAAAATGGCACTCTAGAAGAAAGAGAATTATATTTGAATACCAAAGCTAAGGTAGAAAATTGTTTGTTCCATTCCAATATCTTTGTGATAAGTATTTCTAAGCTTAAAAACTGAGTAGCTATGCCTTTTATACCCAGAATTCTATCATGAATATATTCACTGTATGTCTATTAAAATATGTTCAGATACGATGTCAAATTATTAATTTCTTGAAAGAGAATTCAAAATACAAATCGATTTGTCTCAACTTGTGCGCATGAAATAATAGGAAACAGTCCGCGATATTGGTTTGAAACCCGCCCCTATACTAAACTTGCCTTTTCCAGTTTCCAGTTTTCAATTATGATCATTTTATTCCATAGTGAGAGAACATACCAACATGTTTAGGCTGGCAGTAGTATTCCCTCACCACAGATGTGTGGTTTATCGGCCGTGTTGGTCATCCATTACCCATGGCAAGGAGAGGAGTATTGGTTTTGTGACAGACATGGAGCTTTATAAAGGCTATGTTTACCTTTAGCTACTTCTATAACCGAAAATAAGGAATTATTTAAGGCAAGCCATCGCTAGACGCACGCTTATCGAGCAAGGAAGTAGTTCAGACAAAATAATGGCACGTGCTTTCATGCAAACCCAATAAAGCATGACGTCATTGCAGCTATTCCCTTTAGCTTAAATACATCGCCATCAAGGCAGTATCTTACAGTAAATACATCCCAATAAGGCAGTACCTTACAGTAAATACATCCCAATAAGGCAGTACCTAACAGTAAATACATCCCAATAAGGCAGTAGCTAACAGTAAATACATCCCATTAAGGCAGTATCTTACAGTAAATACATCCCAATAAGGCAATATCTTACAGTAAATATATCCCAATAAGGCAGTATCTTACAGTAAATACATCGCCATCAAGGCAGTACCTAACAGTAAATACATCGCCATCAAGGCAGTATCTTACAGTAAAAACCTTCCAATAAGGCAGTACCTTACAGTAAATACATCCCAATAAGGCAGTTCCTTACAGTAAATACATCCCAATAAGGCCGTACCTAACAGTAAATACATCGCCATCAAGGCAGTATCTTACAGTAAATACATCCCAATAAGGCAGTTCCTTACAGTAAATACATCCCAATAAGGCAGTTCCTTACAGTAAATACATCCCAATAAGGCAGTACCTAACAGTAAATACATCCCAATAAGGCAGTAGCTAACAGTAAATACATCCCATTAAGGCAGTATCTTACAGTAAATACATCCCAATAAGGCAATATCTTACAGTAAATATATCCCAATAAGGCAGTATCTTACAGTAAATACATCGCCATCAAGGCAGTACCTAACAGTAAATACATCCTAATAAGGTAGTACCTAACAGTAAATACATCCCAATAAAGCAGTACCTAACAGTAAATACATCGCAATCAAGGCAGTACCTTACAGTAAATACAACCCAATAAGGCAGTACCTTACAGTAAATACAGATTCAATAATGCAGTGCTTTACAATAAGTACAGTCCCAATAAGGCAGTACAATACAGTATATAAAGACCCATTAAAGCAGTACCTTACAGTAAATACAGGTCCAATAAGGCAGTACCTTACAGTAAATGGGTCCCAATAAGACAATACATTTGATTTAAGATGTTGCTGGTCACTCTGAAGTAATCAAACCACGAAATGAAATCTTAACAATATTTTTTTTTTTATTATGAATTATCTACACAATCAGATGGAAACCGCGAAAAATGCATACTTGACATTTCAAAAATGAATGAATGAACCGGAACCGGAAGTAAGCATATATAATGGTTAAAATATGCGGTATTCTTATAGAGCAACCTCGCAGACAAGTAAAATCGTGATGTTAAGCAAGAACAGCTTGACAAGTAAGGATCTAGCCTCATCATGGGAGTGCCGGTTATGTCCGTGTTATTTCCTATATAACTAATGTTTTTTGTTGTTGCTAATATGTTGCGAAGCAATAACTTGCAAAATTACAAAGTGAAAACTTTAAAAACAGTCAGCACTTTAAAGCAATTGCATTTCATGATACATTTTAAGTTTTGTTATTGTTCAAAAGAAAACATACGCCCTCGTTTATTGCACGTTGTACCATATTCTAGAGCGCAAATCAAACTTTGCTTTGAACCTTCGCAAATTTCCGGCTGTAACTTATCTTCTTAAACCATCAACCATTACTTCTTAAAATAAACCAAACACTTAATGATGTATAAAATAATGCATGGGCTGTCACCTCAATACTTACAAGATGTCTTAAATCATTTCATTAACAATCAAAACAATAACCCTATTCCCTCAGACAAACAAGACTGTTTATTCCACCTATATGCAGAACTAACAATTATTTTGACATTTTCCTCCCTCTAATGTGCCGTACACTACTGATAATGATCTCTTAAACTCCCCAACTCTTGCAACCTTTAAACACAAAATGAATAAAGATATTATTATCGATAATGAATCAACCTAAATTTTTTGACCTGAAGGTGATAGACAGGCACATATTATTCTTTGTCAACTTAAAAACTTCTGTAGCAATTTAAATTTTGATTTATTCAATGACCATTTAACTGACTGTCCCTCTTGTGCTTGCTCTTTTGAATATGAAACAGTTTTCCATTATTTTCTTGAATGTCCATTGTATAATGATCTCAGACCTACTTTATTTACTTCTGTTGATAATTATGGAAATCATAACCATATTGATACAAACATTTTTCTACAATGCTGTCATGATCGTGATGAACTAACAAACAGACAGTTACTTAATCATGTACAGTTATTTATTGGTAAATCGAGGCGTTTTAATCTCTATACGATCTAACCAGCCATGACCTTATACTTTATACTTTTATACTTTACTATTCCTATTTCAATTATACTCCACAAATAAGTAACTTTACCTACTTTTCTGTAAATAGTATTCTTCTGTGACCTGTGCATATATTTGCACATGGACTTTTGGTCAATGTCTGCCAATATCTGTGTGATTTGATACATGTAGCTATATAGCTTATATACATTGTAAAATGTTATAAAAATAAATAATATCTGTGGAAGTGTTTTGTGTGTGATGTGAGAAGTGTGAATGTATTTGTATTTCAGATATGTTAATTAAGAAGAAGTTACATCCCTTTAAAAAAAAATGTTTTATAATTTTCATTTCAAAATTGATGTATTAATTAAATCAAATAAAAATAACAGAGTCCATTAATTTAGCCACCGCTGGAAAGAATTTATAGAGGCTTTGCCTGTTATTCCATCCAATTGACTTGTATCAACTTTGTTTATAAATTTGTTGAAATGGAAAAAAAAATGAACCATTACTTCTGGGGGTCTACAGGTGTCTGCTGTCTTACACCATGAACCATTACTTCTGGGGGTTTACAGGTGTCTGCTGTCTTACACCATGAACCATTACTTCTGGGGGTTTACAGGTGTCTGCTGTCTTACACCATGAACCATTACTTCTGGGGGTTTACAGGTGTCTGCTGTCTTACACCATGAACCATTACTTCTGGGGGTTTACAGGTGTCTGCTGTCTTACACCATGAACCATTACTTCTGGGGGTTTACAGGTGTCTGCTGTCTTACACCATGAACCATTACTTCTGGGGGTTTACAGGTGTCTGCTGTCTTACACCATGAACCATTACTTCTGGGGGTTTACAGGTGTCTGCTGTCTTACACCATGAACCATTACTTCTGGGGGTTTACAGGTGTCTGCTGTCTTACACCATGAACCATTACTTCTGGGGGTTTACAGGTGTCTGCTGTCTTACACCAT